AAGTAAAGATCAGTGGTGATGGTACCAACATTGGGAAGAGGCTTAAACTTGAAAATGTAACATACACAATTTTGAATGAAAAGGATGCAGCAATGAATGAAAAAAGGAACTATGTTCTAGCAATAATTAACACAACAGAGAACTATGACAATCTTAAAGAAAGCCTTGCTGATCTAAACAATGAAATGTCCAATTTAAAAGAAATAACTTTAAATAATCGTAAGTATAGCATTGAGTATTTTTTAGGAGGAGACTGGAAGTTTCTAGCCTGTGTCTGTGGTCTAGGAGCTGCAAATCAAAATTTTGCCTGTATTTGGTGTAAGTGCCCAAGAATGAAAGGTTTGACATCAGTAAAGTGGTCTTTAACTGACAAATCTCTTGGGGCAAGAGATTCACAAGAAATAGGTAAGCCTGCAAAATCTAAACAATATAATTGCAAAACCAATCCATATTTTAATTTTATTCCTATTGACCATGTAATAATTGATACACTACATTTGTTTTTGAGAATATCTGATAATTTCATTGAACTTCTTATCAGGGAACTTCGCAGAAAAGATGCGATTGACAAGGTATATACTTTTTTAAATGGTTTTTGTCGAAATAAGTATAAACACAAGGCTGGGTACGAAAAATTTGTAAAAGAGCTAGGAATTAATTTTGAATGGAAAATTAATAAGGATACCAAGAGGTTGGAGTACAGAGATCTTACTGGACCTGAAAAACTCTTGCTCTTTCAACACATAAATTTTCAGGCACTACTATCAGAAGGTCATGTTGCAGATAGGCTGCAAGCCCTATGGGGTAATTTCATAGATATCATAGGTGACCTCAAACTAGATTATACTACTGATGATGCTATCTCTATCCTTGAAGAAAAGATAAAAAAATGGTTTCAAAAATTTCTTGACCTTTACCAAGCAAAAGATGTGACACCTTATATGCATTCTTTGTATGCTCATGTGCCTGAATTTTTAAAGCTTTACCAAAATTTAGCATATTACACTCAGCAAGGTATGGAGAAGTATAATGAAGTATAATGTATCGAAGGACTACCTTAGATCATCAAACCTTAGGGGGGTTTCTGCACTAAAGCAACTTTTCTTGAAAAAACACAGAATACAGCTTTTGGAAGCTGCTGGTTTGGAAAGAGTGAAGGAAAGCTACAACTGTGGACACTGTTCAACTTCTGGCCATACCATCAAAACATGTACTGCAAAATGCAACAAATGTGATGCTCCTACTTTCTGTGCACATCGTGTTAAAATTGGTGATAAATGGAAGCCAAGATGTGATTTAACCAATCAGTAATCATATAATATATCAATGTGCATAACCCTATAATAACCCCCCCTATAATAACCCCAGTGTATTACCCTATAACTGTTAGCAGAAGTTGTGAAGAATAATTTTGCTATGCCTGTGAAATGTTTCTTGTATGCAGTATTCATGTAGTCTTTTTCACAAAATATTACTGTATTGATTACAACAGAATCACAGACTGAAATATATGGGTCATTTATACCCACATGTTTACATTTTACGTAAATAATTTACTGGCAAGTAAAATAATTATTTGAAATCAACCATTTAGATACAGAAAAATAAATGAACACGTGCTAAATCAAATATATTAATGATGGACCATATTTTTGTATCCACATCTGTTGCCATCTCCACGGACAAATGTAAAAACGACTTGATGCCCGTCTTCTATTTCAGATCAGATGCCATATAAAATCAGGACCTTTGGAACGATATTTTCGCCGCTGTAATCTTCGTCTTGACGGTGTCTCAACTCCATCTGGATCCAGGGCTTTCGAAATATGTCGAACGGTTTCTCTGTCAACCTGTAGATGATAATCAATTTGTAGTCTCTGGTGCATCTGTCTATAACCAATTGAGCTGCCAGAGCCGCTAAGTTCTTGTTCTATGGCTGCAAAGACATCCCAGTCATCACTAGGCCGACCTCCCCTCCCTAATGATCGTTGACGTTCGATTCTCTTTAAGTGCCTTAAACTCAAAAGTATACCATGTCTAAGAGCCAGAAAAGCTATGATCTCGATGTAATTGAAATTTAGATAAAAATATCTCTCGATAAGTTCTTCTCTGTCTTGCATCCCAGCAGTACATTCTACCGGAAGGTATCGAGAATTAATACAGTACGTAGAATTTACAAAAACGGTCAATAGAAGTAAAACAGTGGCTCTCTTCTGGAGATACATCTTGTCTGCCATGTTTTTTTACCATGTGGTTACAAAGGATGATTTAAATTGCAGTGCCGGATAAATAAGTGACAACTAGTGCCAGATAAATAAGTAGCACTGCCACTTATTAAGTGGGAGTGACAGATAAATAAGTGGCAGTCCCAGATAAAATAAGTAGCACTGCCACTTATTAAGTAGCGGTGCCAGATAAATAAGTGGCAGTGCCAGATAAATAAGTAGCACTGCCACTTATTAAGTAGCAGTGCCAGATAAATAAGTGGCAGTGCCAGATAAATAAGTAACACTGCCACTTATTAAGTGGCAGTGCCAGATAAATAAGTGGCAGTGCTAGATAAATAAGTAGCACTGCTGTTACAAAAAGTGTTTTTCATCTGATGTCCCTTACTGGGCACCATAGAAACCAGAATAGTTTGGAAGGTTAATTGAGGTAGATAAACCTTGAAACTACTAGTTCATTGGAGCATATACCTATGGAAGCACATTGCATTGCAGTGTCGTGGGGACTTCTAGACAAGTCAGTGCATAGTGGAATTAAAAATTTATATAGCTTTGGTAGGGAGTGAGCCCTGCCAGTCTTGTGTGTGGTTTATTTCATTCAGGGGCAGAATTTGTCGTACCAGAATACCTCCTGTTTTTTTTTCA